GGGGTCTTGGAGACTGTGGGACAGCTAACTGGTACATCCACCTTAGACCACTTATGCTCCTCCTCACCTGCTGAGCACCTGAGTGTTGAACCCATCCTTGGCCTATGGGGCCATCTGGGGTGCCCACCTCGCCTCCCCCAGGTACCTATGTTAGTGATTATTTTACCTTCCACTATTGAGATACCCGGAGTGATATATATCTCTGCACTCCGTCGGCTGTTGCAGATCCCCTTTACCACATTTATTATTCTCCTCCTTACTGCTAGGCAGCTGCTAATGATACGGCCCCAATGCTGCCTGGACCTGATACACTACCCCCATGTAGGATGACAATCGGAGGTCTGCGCACTTCCCCATAAGTGCAGGGCACCACAGGCTTTCATAGGACCCCCTACAACTTATTTCTGTGACTGTTGGCAAATTGTTTGTTGTGATATTTGCTTGTTATTTATCGTACTGTGTGATATGCAGGTTCTGTTCCTCTCCAATGTCTTATTGGGAAACTTTGTTTGTAACATATCGTATTACTTTACTCTGTTACAAGATATGGACCCGGAGCTGCTCCTCAGCCCCACGACTTCTGAGTTTAGCCTCCCCCACATTAGGCCTTACCCATCTAGGGATCTAATCTTTGGATAGGTAACTTTGAGGTTTGATCCTCAATTAGAATTTGTCCTTGTGTCTACTCTCTCTGTTCTATCTCATTCCAACCTATCCTCTAGCTTCTCTCCTTACCGCATTCGAAAGGGAATGCACCGCATCAGGATGCCTCAGACACGCGGTATCGTTCATCAACGGCCTCTTGCTAGCTCCACCTCCTGACTTCGTCCCTCCCTACCTACAGAAGTGGGAGCGGGACTTGAGGATCAGCGTCGGGATAATTATTATGGCTACAGAGGTGAAGTCCTGTCTTCCCTAGAACAGCGCTTCGGGGACCAGGTGAATCTGCGGATCAGCTTAATAGGCGGGCAACCCACAGAGGAGGGGATAGTAGAAGTGGAGGGTCTGGTGCAGAGAGAGATGGAGCTCGAAGACCATTACCAAGCACTATACTGGTTTGCCAACCGGTGGCAAGTGAAGGCGGGCATGCACTATTCCCTAGAAGGTGATGACCTTTGCGGCCCCGGATTATTGTGGGAAGCGTTTGGGGAGAAGGCTGATTTTGGCAGTCCCGAGGACTATCGCTTCTGGGACATTCAAGCCAAACGGCAGGGGAGGTTGCAGACTATGGAAGTCCATGCCTTGGAGACCGACCTGGCCTGGCTGGTCCAACAAGAGTGGTGCCTAGAAATGGACTACGGGGAGCTGCTGGAAAGTGGTCTGCTATTCCCTTTCCGAAGATGAAGACCCAGTGGAAGCCATATGCCCAGAGACTGTGGATTTCATGGACTTTTCTGTGGAGGTTGTACAGATTGCTGAGTCCTCAGGTGAGGTGCTGGCAACAGGGCAGAGTGCCGCAAGCCTCTGCCTGGTACACCCCCGGAGTTCCAGGGAGAGGAGGCAGATGGCCTCTCTCCCCAGAAGCCTTGTGATTTCCAGGGAGAGGAGGTAGCGGACCTCTCTCCCCAGCGGCAGATGGAGATCCAGGGAGAGGAGGTAGCTGACCTTTCTCCCCAGCGGCAGATGAAGGTCCAGGGAGAGGAGGTAGCTGACCTCTCTCCCCAGCGGGGGATGGAGATCCCGGGAGAGGAGGTAGCTGACCTCTCTCCCCAGCGGGGAATGGAGATCCAGGGAGAGGAGGTAGCTGACCTCTCTCCCCGGCAGCAGATGGAGATCCAGGGAGTGGAGGTAGCTGACCTCTCTCCCCAGCGGCAGAAGGAGATCCAGGGAGTGGAGGTAGCGGACCTCTCTCCCCAGCGGCAGAAGGAGATCCAGGGAGTGGAGGTAGCTGACCTCTCTCCCCAGCGCAAGATGGAAGCCCAGGGAGAGGAGGTAGCCGACCTCTCTCCCCAGAGGCAGTGGCACCCGGAGTTCCAGGGAGGGGAGGTCAGTGTCCTCACTCCCCAACGGCTTTGTGGTTACCCGGGAGATGATGTGCGTGGCATCACGCTCCTGCGGCATAGTCAAGCGGACCAGTTGGAAAAGATTTTGGATTTGTCTTGTCAGACTAACACAGGTCCAGACCAGTTGGTGGTCTGGTACCTGGTTAGTCTACTGTTGGGAGGGGAGAAATGTGATGGACTGAACCGTCACTGGGGCTGCTGGAGGAGCCTGAGGGCTAGCCTCCTTCCTACGGACTATGGACCAGAACTATGGAGACCCCCCTCAGACCTCTTGGGGTTACATGGAACAATTCTACTAGGATACATGTGGAGTGGATATACTGTATGTCTCCCCCGACATTACAGACACACATCACTGTGTTCATTATAGGCAGCCGGCTGGCTGGAGTGACCATTGTTTGCAATGATGGGATTAAGTTCTTATCTAATTAAGGACATTCATCCCAAAGAGTGTCTGTGCATGAAAGACTTCTAATGCGGCACCTAGCTGTCTGGGGGAGGGGACACACTGCACTCTAATCTGATCCTGTCAGGTATAAATTCTGTGTGCTTCCTTCAATAAAGCAGATCTTGGTTTCTACCTCAACATTGGTGGTGTCTAATGCTTGAGTGGTTTAGCGTTCTGTCCTAATATATTGGTTCTGTCCAATAATTAGGCCGGTTTGGGCTGAGGACACTTGGATTCGGGTTCCAGCAGAGAGGAAGCTGTTTTCTGACGGAGGTACCCAGTCTGGGTTCCAGGAGGTCCGTCACAGTCTCCATGCTATGTTCACATCAGTTCCTAATTCTTGCTGGCGTTGTGGAAGTGCACCTGGGGACCTGCTTCATGTTTTCTGGTCCTGCCCTTCCCTCTCTTCTTTCTGGTCCTCGATTCGTAGCCTTGTTCAGAAGTTCACGGAACTGGAGGTCCCAATAGACCCGGCCTTTTTTCTACTACACTGTAACTCCATCTCCCGGAAGCAGTACAAGAAATCCATACTACCTCACCTGCTTAACGCGGCAAGACGTTGCATCCCTGAACTATGGAAGCAGACCAGACCCCCATCGATTTCCCTCTGGCTGAGGAAGGTCGGTGAAATTGAACGCATGGAAGATCTGATCTCCTTTGCCAGGGGCACGCACGCTCAGCATTGTACTAGATGGTTTTATTGGCAGGAATTCATTCTCTCCTCTGAATATAGCACCCTGCTACAGGAGGGGATTGGACCATAAGTGGAGCTGGAACAGCGGACGGAGCTTCCCCACCTTTCAACACCTCTACCTCTTTCCCCCTCCCTCCCTCCACCCCCCCCATCCTCACTGTCCCCCTCTTTTTGTCTTCTTGCTTCTACATATTTCTCTCTTTCAATCTGATTTCATCTCCCTGTGTAGTGAGGACCCTGTGATCTACCTTATATGTACTATGCCATACAGTTACTATATGTATTCATGACATGAATCTATCTCCTTGTATCGTCAGAAATACCACAGGATGTTGTTTTGCTCACTGACTCCTGGACCCCTACATATTGGGACCTTATTTTCTCTTTGATGTTTTTAAGGCTGTCTTACCTACGTCTTTGTCATTGTTCTTAGCAATCTTTTTTGTCTACAAAATGTTTTTAAAATTTCAAAATAAAGAATTTATAAAAAAAAAAGTGGAAAAGAGTTGACAAGGTTTGGATGAGAGTGTGTTGATAAGAGTAACAAAATAAGTCTGTTTGGCAGCACGGAGGAAGGAATTATATTGTAGGATATATATACATTTATATGTATATATGTAATATCTATGTACTATAACATTGATAGTGACAATGTTTGTCCTAAAAGAGGTTCTCCTTTAAAGTGTATGTCTGGAAAAAAAATATGCAGTACATCTCTGCAATACATACATATTTCCCCATAGTTTCTTTCTTAAAAAATGCTGCAACTACAGAAAAATCCATGTTGATCAGCCAGTAATTATGCTCCTAATGTTTTGTTTAGGCTGACAAAACAGTGTTTCTGCTATACACAAAAATGTTTAGAGCTCACTGGATTTCTGACAAGATTATAAGGTATTTGTTAGCATCCAGAGTGCCTCCAGGTGGCGCTGGAGCTAAGCCCTGCAGTTCCTGTGCTCACCTGCAGGTATCTCCAGGCAGCCAGGAACTGTTAGGTACCAGACCACCACTGGGTGGTGCTGGAACCTGCAGCTCCAGTGCTCACCTGCAGGTGTCTCCCAGCTGCCGACACTTAGCCCTCACCTGGCACTTCCTGGGAGGGTATTTAAACCCTCCCTGCAGTCAGGATGATGGCTCAGTATTGTTTCCTGTGAGTCCTGAATCCTGAACACTGTTTGCAGTCCTGTTTCCTGTGAGTCCTGTTTCCAGTCCTGAATCCTGAACCTTGAACCCTGTTTGCAGTCCTGTTTCCTGTGAGTCCTGTTACCAGTCCAGAATCCTGAACCTTGTTTGCAGTCCTGTTTACTGTGAGTCCTGTTACCAGTCCTGATTCCTGAACCTTGAACCCTGTTTGCAGTCCTGTTTCCTGCGAGTCCTGTTACCAGTCCTGAACCCTGAACCATGTTTGCAGTCCTATTTCCTCTGTATCCTGAGTCCCAAGTCCTGTCACCTGATTATAGACCTAAGTCCTGATACCTGCTTGTAGTCCTGTTATTGTTACCTGTATTAAGCTATTTGCTCCTGTTATATGTTGTAGGTGGGTATATTTAGTTGGTGTCACGTTAATTATTCATGTTTGCTTTTGGGTGTTTTATTTGGTTGTGCGGTTTACAATAAACTGGATATAACACATTTGCCTTGTCCAGTGTGGTCATACGTGTTTGGTCTTCCCGTGTAGGTACCTGCATGCGGTGCGGGGACACCTGTGCACGGTACCGTGACAGTATTTTATTGTATTTCCTGTGCTTGCAGCATTTATAATACTGAACATTTTGTCCAAACATACATTTTAAAACTTTTTATTTAAAAAAATTAGTATGCAAACACTATTTGTAACTTAGCTTAAAAGACTTACCATAAGAGACCATTCTTTAACTTTCAAAACAATCGCTTGACGTCCTTGAGGCATCCATGCAACTAATACAGTTATTGCTCGAATGGCAAGCCAACAAACATAGAGGCCACAAGCAGCTGTGTAAAGTTCATGTATTTTTGCAGTTCCAGTCCAAAATGACATTAGCCAACGTCCTACACATACTAGACACACAAAGGAAAAAAAGAAAATCCTCCAGTTACTTAGAAAGAAAAGCATTCTACAGCAAAAACACTTAAAGTTGAACTCCAGGGAAACAGCAAACATATAAAAATACGTATGAACAAAAACATATAAGGAAGTTGTTATACCTGACAAAGAGTTTGTATTTCTGTCCATCCACAGCCGCTGAGATTTACGCAGCCCTGCCACATGACAGCATCCTGTGTGGCAGGGCAGACAACCTATTTTCTCTTTCGCAGTTAAGTACTACTAACAAGTCTTTCCCCTCGCCTAGCCTGTGACTGGACAGTGAAAGGAGGATGAGGAAAACCTGCTGTCTCCTAATAGCATGTCCTAATAGACATGACCACTGCAGCACATCTGACTAGCGGTTTGTGTTGCTTCTCCCCCTCACAGCCTAATATAATTTCAAATTCAGCTTTAAAGCAGAACTCCAGGGACATTTTTTTAAAATTAACCCTTGCAGTTGGGCTACCCATACACTGCAAAGGTTAAAAGAGAACTACGGGGGACACCATTTTCTTTTTTGCATTTCTAGCTTCCTAATGATACAGGAGTACATTTTGTGTTTGTAAAAATGCACCATAAGCTTACAATTCAATGTAATATACTATGGGTGCGTCTAAGCTCTGTGCTGAGAAGCGATCCCGACAATATTGTCGGGATCCTCCTCTCCCATTGAGTGACAGCAGATTGTCTGGAAACAGCAGTGTGGTGGAGAGAGGGAGGGGGACAAAGGACAAACTGCAGGATGGAGATGCAAGTGTTGTCAACCTGTGACCTGGCATGAATAAACTTCTTACTGTCACTCAATGGGAGAGAAGGATCCTAACAATATTGTCGGGATCGCTCCTCAGCAAAGAGCTTTGCCCTGTTGGTTATGTGTTTAGATGAAGCACTAAGATATTGAGGAAACAAATTAGGTTTCAACTTGCTTAGAAGAACACTACATGTATGAATACAGCATTGTGAAGAAAACATATAGAGAGAAAATTTGTATCATAGATAAGCATGCACATAGAGACTAGCATTGCACCACAACGCCATCTACAGCTTAAAAGACATATTAAAAGTACAATTTTTCATTTATATAGTGCCAACATATTCCACAGCGCTGTACAATCGTTTAGACAAGACAAGTCAGAAACACTGACAAGCATCACCGACATACAGAACAGTAGGTGAGGAGGACCCTGCCCAAACAAACTTACAGTCTAAGAGGAAGGGGACCAAAGACACAGGTGGGGAAGGGAAGACTAAAGATGTATACCAAATAAAATAGAAGGGGATTTGGGAGTACTGTGAAACGGGAGCAGAAGGGAAGGTTGTATAGGATGAGAAATCAAGGGTAGAGCTGATAGGCATCTCTAAAGAAGTGTGTTTTTAGTTTTTTTTTTTAAAGCACTATATATACATATCAGTACATTAATATATATTGTTGTATTTTCAGCACCCCTTCTCAACAGCATATGCATTACTATATGACATTTAGCTTCTTTTGAAGGAAACTGTAATGATCCTTTGGCAATGGCTTATTGAGTGCATCCACAGTCATATCTTCTGATGAGCAATACTGAATGTCAATAATGGCTTGCTCTTTTGGTAGCCTGCTTTCATAGGTGTTTTTTCTTCCTTTGCATTTGACAAGTGGAATTGTTCCAAAATTTCTGTAATTTTCTGACTTTAGTTGAGAAAATAAGTTCCATCTCCTTCCCTCTCTATTTAAATTCCCAGATAGTGACTGATGTTTCCTAGCTCTTTCATTTAAAGTTTTGTTTTAGTTTGTGAACTATTTGATTGCTTCTCCACAGTACTTCTTAGGTAGGTTGGTGTCTAACAGCATGCATCTAGCCATTTCTATAAGAGTGCAATTTTTCCGTTCTGCCACACTATTTTGTTCAGGAGTGCATGGTGTGGTTAACTGGTGTACTATACCGTTTCTTCAAATATGATTCCACTTCCATACTGATGTATTCCATTCCGTTGTTGGTGCATATAATTCCTGGTTTCCGTTGGAATTTGTTGCTGGACAAGGCAACAAGCTCTTGAAGTTTTTTTGATGTTTCATTCTTATGCTTCATCAGATAAGTTGTTGTGTACCTGGAATAATCATCAATGAAAGTCAGTAGATATCTGTCCCTGCCTGATGCGGGAGTTTTCATTGGTCCCCACAAGTCCCTGTGTATAAGCTCCATGGGGTGGGTGGTTTTTCTTTGGGTGGCCTGTGGAAGTGGGGTACGTGTGGGCCTTTGCTTCCATACAGCATTTGCATGTCATGAGCATTCGGCAGGGTAGTACGGTTATATCTTCTTATAAGCCTCTCTTTATCAAATCTTTTATGGCTTTCAGGTTTTTGGTGCCCTAGTTGTCTGTGCCATAAATGGATTAATTTGTTGTGTGGATTATGAGAGAAACATACTTACCTTCTCTTCGTTCCAGCTCCAGCACTTCTACTCAGTGTCAGATGCATCTCGTTGCAGTGCTCAACAATAGTCAGCCAGCATTGATGTATTCCACTTGCCCTGATATAGTTTTTCCATTGTGGCATTGTCATGTAAAACCATTCACCGTGTTAGTCGTGTACTGCACCTAGATTTTCAGGAAAAAAGTCCAAGTGTGAATGCAGCAAGTAAATCTTCAGTGACATACTGCATTTCATGGTCCTGTATGCTGTTATAAGTTTGTCAACCAGCTGAATGTACTTCGGTGCTCTGTAGTTGCCAAGAAAAAAAAGTCTTAACAACATCCCGGAATGCTTTCCAGACAATCATCTCTGGCCCCACAAACAGATCTTTGAACTGCTCGACATGACGTATGTGATCTGTGGACCAATGAAAATACCTTACTTATTCTTGGCATGAGTTATCCTTAGAAACATTGTTCTCAAATAACTGAACCTTTCCCTTCTTTGTTCAACACTTTCATCAGTTTGAGTTTCTGTGAAGCAGGGACAAAAATATATTTGTTGGGTCAACAAGTGGTTTATGTGCCACATTTTTCTGTCCTGAAACCAAATGTATTCATTTTTAATGTAATGCCACTTTTCTGCACAGCTGTCCCATTCGCAGATAAAACAACAGTACTTATATCCAAGGTGCATTCCAAACAGCAGGGCCACTACTTTTAGATCTCCAGAGATATTACACTTGTACTTGGTGTACTGGATGTACAACAGTTCTATGTTTTTGTAAGTTTCCTTCGTTTGCCAACAGATACTAAAGGGTGTACACTGCAGTTGTGTAACAAGACAGCCTTGAGGCCTAATATTGATGAATCAATAAAGAGACACCATTCTAGTGGGTCATGCTCACAACCCAAAGCCGTGAACAAACCATCAATGTCAGTAGAGATAATGAGGTTAAATGAAACAATGACCTATCAGCACACTACAAAGTGGAATGGATGAACAAACTAATAGTCCCAAATGGTCCCAAGAAACTGACGGTAGGTGTACTGCTTTTGGCACAAGTAGAGGGAGCCAGCAACGTTAAAACAACAAACAAAGAAAGAAACAGAATGCCAAACCTAGCGCATTAAGTGTGGAAATATAAATACCAAATATTGTACATTAGGGATTGCACTCACAAAATTAGTTGGAGAGGAATACTTTAAAGCAATACATACTGAATCTTTGTCTTCAAACAACCAACCTGGGGCAGTGAACTACTAACAGGAAACTGTATGGGTGGAAACTGCTTAGCTGGGGACAAGGTTACAAAAACGAAAAACGACCCAAATCTGATTGTGTACAATATATGAGACCCAAAACATTTTATTCATAATAAAAGCAAAACTGGTTGCATTCACAGCGGTACTCTTAAGTGTGAATGGTGAAAGACAGAGCTGCTGAGATCCTTCCCTGTCCGGTCCTGCTGTCAAGTGTGAAGAATGTTTTCTTCGTTGTAGCTGTCACAAACAAGCTGGGGCTGAAGCGGATGGGAGATTGAAGCACCTCTCCTTGGTGTTCCTGTGATAGCACAGGTACACAGTCTACTTGCTGAAGTGAGCTCTTGGCTGTCAGAAAACACTTCCAGGTTGGACTCTCAGAACTGGTTACAACAGCTATGAGTTTCAAGGAACTCCTCTTTGTCAAGCCAAGAAAGATCAAGAACGGGGCTGGTTGTATAAATCAATACCCAGGGGATTCATTGAGTAAAGGGGTTGGAATCAGCACAAAATGATTGCTGGTATTAGAAACAGGGAAGATACATTAATGTATAATGTTATCATTTCTTGCAAAATAAATTAATTGTAAATAAGGACATAAACTAATGGCTGAATAATTGCTTGTGCAGTGTCTCATGATTACTGAAAATCATAAATTATATGTTATAATCAATACAATAGACCATGAGTCGCATGAAACAAATGGATTTTACATAGTGCACATTCACATGCAATCAGTGCTGCTTCTGGCTCCATGCAGCTGGGAGGAGATTGGTGAACGGATGTTTGCTGGCCTCTCTACCCGCCGACAGCTGTGATGCTGGTCCCAAAACCCGCTGGACCAGCAGAGCCTGGGAAGTAAGGAAGGGGGAAGTCACTATTCACCGGCCTCTGGAAGCCGATCTGGCAGCAGCTGGGCCCCCAGAATTGCTTCCAGTGTAAAGCTGACCGCCAGCTTTACACATCTAAACAGAGTTCAGGCGCTATGATAGAGGGGCCCGCTGCCATCGATGTACGGCATATGCCGCTGGCAGCGAAAGGGTTAATAGCTCATAGGAACTAGGAATATATGATGTCTAAACCAAACAGCGTCCTGGTGATGGCTCTGAGGAAATAAATAATGGGAGTGACATGTAACAACGAGTATCACTTGGCAGTACTTGATAAAATGTAACAGTGCTGCAGAGTAAGAAGAAGATTGAGAGGGGATGCTGGGGATGTGAACTTAAAAGAGAACTATGGGTCAACCTTTTTTGCCCATAGTTCTCTTCAGGGTCACAGGAGGACATATACTACTGTCCTCCAGTGTCCTAAA